TCATTTTGTGTGTAATTAAACCAGCTTCCTTGAGCAAGCTTTACACAAGTATATGGGTACATATATTACCTGGGGTGACTTCTATGGTACTGCTGTCTAGAGGGCAGATTGGCATGTTACATTATTTTGTAAGAGACAACGTGCTGTTACGTAGCTCCTAAAACTATTGGAGAGGACCCTCCAATGTCCTGAATCACAGTGTGCTTTCTCATCGTCCTTAGGAGGTAGTAACGAGCTCTGGTTCTGTGCTTGGTCCCTTGACAACTCACTGCACACATAAGATTTGCCTGTATGCCTGCTGTATTGCCTCACTGCGTGAGCGGTCAACCCACAGAGAACGTTTCTACATTGCCGTTACCAACCAACCCCATCACAAGTGACAGCTTTTATGTGGGTGAAGCATCCAGGCCAAGAGAGTCCCCAGACTCAAGGTCTTTAGTGCAGACTGATGTGTAAAACCTTTATGGATGAGAGATGTTATAGAAATGCTTGTTGCTTAGTTCTGTATTGTGGGTTGTTAAGAGAGTGCTATTGCTTTTGTGAGAGGCTACTTAGATCTGAAATGTTAAAGACCCCTTTGAAAAAAGTTAGTTGTGACAGGTGTAGTTACTGTGCTAGCTCTGTAGGGCAAAAAGATCAGGCATTGACCAGTGGTAACAGATTATAAGATGTAAAAATAATGTGTTGGTGTTCAGTCTCATTTGTGCAGACATAGGTTATAAAATCTTGAGAACAGGTCTACTTAGTGATGTGTCCCATGAACCTGTGAGTGGTCTGTAAATAAACATTTCTGAATATCCCTGTCTTTGTTGAGAATGACTGTTGGGAGACAAATTTGTGGTGTGGAAACCCGACTTTAACCTATGCCAGAAACACTAGGGAAATATTTTTTTTTTTTTCCAGAAAAAGAAAATTATGTAAGATTTTAGTGAATTTTTAGAGAGGATTAGCTCACTGTTCTTTTCATTTAATAATTCATTTTTTTCTTTCATTGCCTATATTATATTTAAAAGAAACATAATAAAGCACTCACAAATGCAGCATAAAACAGGAAGCCTATATTCCACCACATTCTTTTATTGTTTAATAGAACTAATAACTGCGTAACTGAAATCATGATAATACTCACTTGACCTGCCTTTTTGGTTCAGTTCAGAGATTTCTGGTTTGGCTTAAGCCTCTGGGAAGAAGATTGCATTTTGAGAAATAAAGTTGATTTTGCTCGATGTGCTGATGATCAGCAAGGCTTAATGAATGATCGCCTCAAGAAACCTCATTACAGTAATTTGGATGGATGAGCAGGAGTGAAATGCAAAAGGAATAAAGTGTGGTTCTGCTTGAATGCATCACTTGCTGATATTTGACTCTATAACTGTCCAGAGCCAGTACAGGGAAAAGATCAGATATCCTTGCCTGACTTATCTTGATACTGCCAAGTTTTTTGGGAAAAAAAAAGTTTTTGGTGTCAGTAGTAGTTGCTCTCTAGCAGAACAATGCAGTCATTTCATTCATAGAGGTGTGATTGTATCCAATTCATAAATTGTGGGTGATTCCAATCCATAATTGTACATTTTCTCTTTTTTCATGACAGTTCAAAGAAGTCATTGTGTTGAGGCTGTGAATTGGATGATTGCTGAAGACTTTTGCTCATGTAGAATCTGCCAGTTAGCTGCTTAGCAAAGGTGAGAGTCTCCTGGTCAGCCTGGTTTCAGCTGTTCACATCACAAAACTTCTCTGCAGATGACACAGTATGCAGAGGCACTCAGGAATAAAGTAAGTGGGAAGCAGCAGAAAACCAAAGTGGAATGAAAATGAAAAATACAAAAACCTTGATAGGTTGAGATACGTTTCTGAACATGTCTGTTGTACCATCTATCCTAACCATATGTTCAGGTTCAGGGATAGTAGGTGTTCTCCAAGTAGCATCCACTGTGCTTGCTTTCATTTAGGGCGATGCAATAGCACCCTGCAGTTCTTCCAAAGAACTGAAAACGGGGCGACAGGTAGTTCTAGCTGCCAGTCCCTCCTCTCTACTGTTTGAGTGAATGGCTGTGCTGCTTACTGAAGATAGGCTTTTATTAGGACCTAGCTGGTTTTTCCTCTGCATGAGATGATTCTGTAGACGTAAATAACAGCTGTGCAAGGAAAGATTAAGTCTGTGTTGGACTATCGCCTCTGTAGTCCATTTTGCATTTTATTTCTTGCTTTAGATTTTTGAATCAAAACTGTGAAGTTGTTATAAAAAGCAATGGAGGATGGATGCCAAAATGAGAAACAGGGTTTTCTCCCCACTTTTCAATTTAGGATTTATTAAAATAGTAATAATTTAGTGAACTCATGTTCCAAAATATATTTTGGGTTTTTTTCAGAAGAAAAAATAAGGAAATGCGGCCTATCAATTTCAAGTTATTTTATTTTCTTAACCCAGGATGAATACCTTTGACATAGTTGATAGCAGATCTCATGTACTAGTGCCTGTAATAACTATACTGGGTATAGGAGAGCTACTCTGGATTTATTGCTTAGACTTGGTAAAAATGTGTTCTGTTTTCCATTAAAAAAGGCTGATAGTCTTGAGAAAGTAATATTTTCCCATGCTTGGAATATCCAGGGATTTTTATATATATATATTTTCTTTTTTAAAAGTAATACTGTTTTGATGATGCTTCTCCCAATGCATACACACTGAAGTGCGTGCTTGATGAAAATGTATAGGCTCAATGAAATATGCGCTTAAAACCTTTAGGGATAACTTCCTAATTTCCATATGCCAGGAGATTTCAGGTATTAAATGTCAGATTATACTCTGACAGCATCCAGTGCTTGCATTTTCATGAGGATGATATTGAGGATTTTGCAATCATAGTTTGGCTAAAACTTTGTCAAGTTGAATTCAGCACTGTGTTTTCTAGCAACTGTAATGAGTCAAAACCTGTTGTTTATCCATAGTTTTGTTGCACTGTCACTCCTCTACAGCTTAAACAGTAGAGGATGTTAAAATCTGATTTTTCCCAAGTTCTGTAGGAAGTAGAGGCTGTGCAGCAGAGTAAGAGTTGAGCTGTAGCATTTTGCTGACACTTGGTCTGGATGCTTAATTGCAGGCTGATGACCTGGTGGCTGCAGAATGTGTCATTCACTGAGAAAGCTCTTATTCAGCCGTAAGAATACAACTGTTGCCCCAAACTGCTTATCGATTTTCTAGCTTCCTAGAGCATTTTAGGGTAAAGGAATCTAAGCTTTATTGACAGCCCTCCTCTGATTTGTTTATAAATCATTTAAACTCTTGGTGACTCAGTTTTTTCATCTGTTATTTGGAATAATATTTGTTATCTCCAAGGACCTGGAGATCCTAGACGCCAGATGCCAAAGAAAAACAAAATGTTCTTATTACCATTTCCTTGATTAAATATATGGGGTTTTTTTTCTTATAAGTAAGACACTAGCCTTACAAATCACTGCAGTCTTTCATATAATGAAATTAGCCTCAAATAATGACTGTAATAACTGAACAATAATGAGGAATAGAAGGCATTGCTTCCCTCTGAAACCACCGTAATTTGCATAAACCACTCTGAGAGTCTGGTAAATTATATTCTGCTTGGTCAGTCCACAGAGAGATTAATAGTGTTTTTTTTTTTTTTTTTTAAACAGTAGAAAACTTAAACTTTAGGTCATGTGGGTGTGGGTGTGTTTTTATATCTTCAGAACATTAGTCTTCTTTACAAGCTGGCAATCCAACAAAATTAGAGTTTGACGTTAGAAATCATGCTTTGTTTTCCTGCTGGGCTCTGAACAATTCTTGTTTGATTGTGTTTAAAATCAGCTTGGCAGCCTTTCCTTAGTGTAGTTGATTTGAAGTTTTGCTGAAGAATTAAAGTTTCATTCCCAGAAGACACTTCTTAATACTCTGGTAAACCAAGAGAAGAAATACAGGAACACATGAAAATCAAGCACTTATATAGTATAGCGTAATGCATTCTTGCATCTTTATCACATTTACATATGCAAACTGGTCATTTATATTTTTTAGATAAGTTGCCACTGTGTGAGACAATGTGCCAGTTATATGTGTCCACATCCTCACCTGTGTTTTTCTGCTTCTAGTTGTCTAGTCCTATGTCTATAAAAAATCAGTAATATTATTAACTATGTGGCATCACACAGCTGTTAAAATGCATTTACACAGGTTTTATAAATGAAGAGCAAGGTTAACTTCAGCATTCTTCACTGAGAGCCGTTTCAGGGCCATTACTTCCATTAGAGTCTGGTAAAGTGATGGAGATGGGCTGGAAAGCTGTTGCTTTGTGACTGAAGAGTGGAGCTTTCAAGTCCAGAAAAGCCTCTGTGGGGTTCCTTCACGCCTCAGCATTTGTTCCCTTCCCGAGAGCAGTCCTCGTCTGCCTATGTGGCTGCCCAGTTCCATCATGCCCTCCCCACGCTGTGTACTGTCTCAGCATACACACACACCTCATCATGATTTAACATGCCCTCCAAAATCTGGGTTTAGCAGCTTTGATGGTGGGCTGAGCAGTGCACCTGCAGAATGATGGATTCAGTCCATGTTTTGAATGTACAGGTGTCCCAGTTGTTAAATCCAACACCCTAGTGAGTGGTGTCACTGTTTCTGCAAAGAAGGCCGGGGTCATAAGACTGAACGGCTGAAAGTGAGGGGGAATGAACACCACTGAGAGAGGTTGGCACTTCTGTGGCCCATATTACCTGAGGGCATACATTCTGGGCATAAATGATGACAGTCTCCCTTTGCACTTGAAATTACTATGTCCACTTGAATTTTGGGGGAAATGTGTAAAGTCCCACTGTCAAGATCAGAACTTCACAAGAAGAGAATAAAAATTTGTCATTCTCGTGTTCATGTATGTGAATTAGGGACTCTTCAGTTAATTTGTTTCCTGCCTACAGATACATACTGCTCTTTTCTTTGTGTTGCAGAAGCAGCGTACTAAGGCAGATACACCTGCTTGACTGTCAAGGCGGGGATCATGGGAGAACAACTGTTAAGCAACAACATCCTTGATCAATTTATTAATAGCCATGAGCAGTCATACGAAGAGTTTCTAAATACATTCACTTACCTTTCAAAAGGTATGGAACTTCCCAGATCCCCTGCTAGAAATCGCAGCCAAAAGGGAAGGTAAAAAGAGAAACAGTATTATTTAGTGTCGTTCTGCTACTTACTTGCTTTGTGACCGTAGGCAAATCTGTGTGATGCTTTTGTTTCTCCTATCAGCAGTGGGATCCCTGAGGACAGTTTTCCTTAGCTTGGTTCACAGGCTGCTAAGGTTGGTCTCTACAGGTGTTTAACCATGTTTTGCTCCCTGTAGGGCGGTGGGGAAGTGTGCAGTATATGGAAGGATAGGCTTTTCCTAAGTACGCCCTGCATTGTTTTGCTAGAGAAGTTTCCACTGAAGAAGAAGAGCATAAGTGAAATACTTAATAGTATGAGATGGCCAAAGATCAGGGGTGTACAATTTGGATACTTTCACAGATGTACCAACACTGCTGTGCTATGCTGTCCTGCGTGCCAAGCTAACAGATAACTTGGATGAAGGCACATCAGGACATCAGATTAGGATGATTAGGCTGAAAAGGTCTCCTGCTCTGCAGACGAAGTAAAAGGTGGGGCTTAACCTGGAGCTGAGCATTGCTGAATTACAGGCAGTTCAGATCTGGATCCAAATTCTGAAGCTCAGGTTCATTTCTTTTGGCCATGTTAAGGCAGGTGCCATAAAAATAAAAGTGAGCTACAGATCACTCACAATTCTCTTTACTACAGCTTTGCACTGCAAATGTTGTCCTCATCTTATTGCAGAAGGACTGTATTTTTCAATTACAGCATGTGGCATGCTGCATTGATTGGCACTCAGAAGTCTGTTCTGTCCTTGTCCTTCAGGCAGAACTAAGTGTCAGTCACAGGTACTGAACAGAAAACGGGGGGGGGAGCCCCCCCTGCCATAGAAATAATCTTGTGGCAACCTTCTGTCTCCTCCCAATAAAAAACAGAAGAGAAAGGAGACACTGGGGGATGAGATAAGAGGGTTGAAAATTCAGTTCTGGTCTTCTTTATGTGTGATTGATACACTGGGGATAGCTCCTATCTTAGAAGCATGCTGCATATCATGATTCTACTTGCAAAAAGCCTCAGCATGTATTTCAGTCACTTTCACTGTCACTATAGCATCTGCCACAGAAACTGTATAAAAGGTAGAGCTTTCGCTGATTTAAATGCTTAGAAATGCAGTTTCCTATGCTGGTGTAAACAAAACAGCACAGCTTGTTTCCCTCCCACCTTGATTTTCCCTTAGAAATACCCAAAGGTGTTGGTGTGCATTATAAACTAGTGACCTGCAAAAATTCCACTTAAAGCACAGGACATTTTAGCATCACAACAGTGCAAAATACTTTATAAAATATCACGTTCTTAGTTCCTTAATTTTGCATTTAAAAAATAGTCACTTGGCTTTTTTTTTTTTTTTTTTTTAAAGCAACTATGATTGATTAATAAGAGTATCTGCTAACAGGCCTCAGGAATTCTCACTTTTATGTATGAGTTCAGGTATTCACTGTGGAGCTGTATTTGTGGTTACTGACAAGTAAAATCTGATGATTTTCAGATTACCTTTCTGAATTTGGCCTGATAATGGTGTTGATCCACACACTAAATCTTTGTAGAATGAGCATTAATGTCAGAATTTGCAATCCTGCTTAATTAATTATGGAGATAGCTATTTGTATACACAAATAACCAAGCCCATTCAGTGGTGTGTGTGGAACTCTTTAAAAAAAATCCATGAAAAACATGACAATCTATAATAGATTTTTGAGTGACATAACATTGGAAACAGAAAACACACGTATAACTGATATGATCCCACTGATTTCATAGGGTATCATATTTGTGTAAGGTGATTTTCACTTGTGCATGAATTTATACTAGGTCTCTAGTTGGCATTACAAGGATATTTTCACCAGGAGTTTATACATTATTCTGAAAAGCATCTCATAAGAATCTGATTTCCTAACTAACGTTTAATTTTTCCTCATTAGTTAAATTTACACACAGTGAAACTAAGAAGAATATACCTCAGGTACAAAAATCCAAGCATTGTTGACTGTTCTGACCTATGTAAAAAGAACTCTTTAAGGCTATAAATGTCAGCCTGGAGTAACCCCCTGGGGAACACTTTAGGGTCTTCTGCTAACAGAATAGTTCCATTCTTTTAAACATGGGAAACAGTATTAATGAATTTTTATATTCCTAACTTTCAGTGGCTTTGTTAGGATTGCTAATAGCCTAATCAAGAAAATAACATTTTTAGAATGTTGTATTTTTATATCTGAATGTGTGATATTACCTTTGGCTACTCTGTAGAGTGAGAATAGAGATCCTGTTCTTCCTTGTGTTATTTGAAAAGATACTCTCATAGCTCAAGTAGAACAAGATCTGGAGTCAAACTAAGGTTCTTCTAAATTCTGTGTAATTCATTTAGTGATATGTGTTTGGTTTAAATAGCACACAGATACGTTATAACTTACTTGGACCATAAAATTTTATCTTTGATATGGAAATTTAATCATCCTGATTTTAGTATTTAGGCATTTATTATATTTTGGCATCTGAAAAAAAATGACCACCTCTTGTGCAAATCCAAAGCAAAGATATTGGTAAGAGTATTCATTTTGTTACTCGTTTATTTTAATACATTTTAATTCATCTGTGCTGCTTTTAGAATCACTGAACCCCCTTATGCTTATGCTAAATTACATATTTAGTTTTGTCAGTTTGTTCTTTTAGCTTTGAGTATAAAAACAATCTGAAAATAAACCAGGTAGCTTGTAATTGGTTTGAGGCTGTACAACTCCACGATGTTTTTTAAGTCCAAAGAAAAATCTTAAAGAGTTTTTTCTTGACCGTGTAGTTGAAGAAGCCTCAGAAGAGCTGGATTTACAAAGGAATCAATGACACAGATTTCTGTAGATGTGGTCAATGAGTGGTCTTTTAAGAACTAAACACTTCCTGGAACAACTTTGGACAAAATCTTGAGGAAATGGACCCAATCCCCTCCTTTTAAAAGAAGTGACACACAGGGCAAGAGGCTCTTTCAAATCTTAGGAAGAGCATTTGAAATCTGGTGGAGAGAAAAATGATATCTGAAATTAGAAAGCAGCATCTGCTCATTTTTCTGAACTCAGAGGAAGATTGGGTAATTCACTGAAGCATAAAATATCTCCTGACCTTCTACAAAAAATACAGAAAAAAACAAAAAAAAAAATCCAAGCTTCAAATTTTTCATGTAGATTTTAGATTACTCCTCTCCCACTGTAAAAATATGGGGTCCTGGATCAGTGAACTCCATAGAAAAATGCTGCCATGAACAAAATTCTTATCCAGGCCTGAGTTTAGATTCATATTTCATGTACCTCCTGCTGCCTGGCAGTGCATTGAAGTTTGTCGACTTTGATCAAAACTATCTCTAAGCAAACTAAACCTTGGGTATATACTTTGTGGCCTCACTGCTGCTGTGTTGATGGTTCTGTGCCCGGCAAGCTGTCAAGCGGAGGGTGGAAGATGGCTGACCACTTCTCTGCTTCCAGGTGGCATGCAAGAGCCATATTCTGTGTTGTGATCAGATTAGTTTAATTCCCTGGTGAAAACTGAGTGATGTATTTAGTTCACAGTCCGTCTGACGGTAGCTGTCTGCTTCCTTTTTTCGTTAACCACGTTTAGGAAAAACAACTTTAAACTTCCTACATAAGTGCCAGTGGAGGCAGTTTACAAATGTGAGTCTTAACAGCAGAAAGCACAGCAGAAAGATATATAAGAAATGACAGAAGAAATTCACTTTGATTTTAAAAATGGACCAGTAGGACAATGCTTGCCCGGAGAGAAATTTGCAGCCTTCTTCCTATGAGTGGATTCGCCAATAAAAGCAACTAGGCAGTTCAATAAAACTAATTAAATTAATCTGTCATCCCCAGGGAACTTAAACAGGGCATGAAATAGGGAAACAGCGTCAATTCAGAGCTCTTTATTGATGTGTTGTGCTGGATCGTTGGAAAGAATTGGTTGGGAGAAAAAATTTGTAATTTTCTATTGATCATAAATTTGGTACCTCTCTTTATGTAACCTTCATTCAATATAGTGTAAAATCAAATATCATACAGAGCCCTAAATGTAGAAAAAACTCAAACATAGGGATGCAAACATAACAGATTACTTTTGAAACGATAGTTGCTGATCTGTTTTATGGATATTTGTTGTCCTTAGATCTCAGTGGTATTTGCTGTACGAAGTACTTTATCTCCATTGTATAGACAGAAAAAAATTAGGCATAAAGAGAGGAAATGACTAGTGTTCATTTGCACAGGAGCTCACTGGCAGCAGCAGATAAGGACAGAGGCGCTCGAACTCCTGCAATCTTTGACAGCCCTTGAACAATAGTGCTCCTCTAATAGCAATTCTTTGTTCTTTTCTGTGATGCCTTTATTACTAAACAATTTCTAAAAATTCAGGTGGAAAAAAATGTATTTTCATTCTGTTGCATAACTTAGATTTACTAGAATGTGGAAAAGGGAAGTGTGTAGTAATTTTGCTGTTGATACTTTGATACCGATTCCGTCATATAGTGGCATATTGGCTGTGGTAGAATTCTGTAGTACTATAAAAGCAGTAACACAGAATGAACTCTTGCTCTAGCTCATCACCTTGCCTTGAATATCATTGAAGTGTGCTAAATGCAGCTGTTGGCTAAGTTTCATGTCATTACAGTGAGGTGAGGAAGCACTGGTAGCCCTCTTTTACAGAGGTGGAAATGACACAAAGCAAATAATGTCAGAGATCAGAGCCTTAGGGTGGCTCAACAGAACAATCAGAAACAGAAATCAAGTGACCTCATTTTCAGTTTAGTGCTGAAGTCTTTACAGATTTGTGTGCTTTTCTGTGTCCAGTATAAAATCTCATAGAAATGTTGAATGTCAAGAAAGTAGGTATTTGCCTTTAAAAAAGCAATCAGTCCTTTTTGAAGATGCCTTAATATCTTAATTATAACATCCAAAATTGAGCATTTTTTAAACTCCTGGGCTCT